ACTGCTCTTCTTCCCATCCAACTCCCTTCTTATGTCCTTGGAAAGCTTGAAGAATGGCCCAAATCTTTGGGCCCCTGCACCCCTATGGGAAATCCAAAGGAAGCTCCTGGCTCCTGGCTTTGGATTTGTTTTGTTCCATCTGTTGTAGTCATTGGGGAGTGAATCATCACATGGAAGAGCTTTCTGTCTCTCCTCTCCATAAGCCTGCCTTTCCAATAAAAATAAATAAATCTTTAAAAATTTTAAATATGTATCTGTTTAAAAATCAAAACATTCGTCAGAAAGTCACCCTCCATGGAGTTACAAGTACAGCTCAACGAATGGAAAATACATTTGTAACTTACATCTGACAGGAACTTGCTTCCATAATGCATAAAACAATTCCCTAATCAATAAGATAAAGACATGCAGTCTGATAAGCAACTGGGCAGAAAACTAATTGGATGCTTCACAAAATAGAATGTCTTAGTGCCCGAGAAGCATACAGAAAGCAGCGAGTCTAAATCATCATCAAAGAAACACAAATCAAGAACACAATGAGCTGCACCTACACAGACAGCAAAGGGGCTAAAATGGAAGAGACAGTGACACTGAAATCACTGTGGGGAAACTAGACCTAGCTGGTGATAGCGCACATTGACAAAATCATGTCAAGGGTAGAAGTTTAGGGTCGAGCTTATGGAAGCTACTGGAAGGTTCATTCCATGATAGAATGGATGCATGAATTGGGGTGCCTTTACAATGAGTGAGGTAGTGGTAGCAAGAAAGCCACAACTACACATAACCACACAGTTACCCCATGGCTGTGATGGGTACACACAAGAGTCCAAAGTGCACAGCCTCAAGCTCAAAAAGAGGCCGAAGGAACCTGCCTACAAGTCTGGGTAGAATTCTTCTTGGCAGGCAGGTTTTTAATGGGAAGAGAGTGTGAAATATCTGTGGGCCATTCAAATAATCTGTGGCTTTGCTCTAGGCACTGATGACATGGAATTGTTCAAATTGAAAAAAAAAAAAATCCAAGTTGGACACTTGAGCTCCACAATGGAAGACTGAACAGGTACCACTTAAGCAGAGAATGAAACCGCACAGCTAGATCTTCTATTTTGCCGTTTATTTACGATTATATTTTGAAGAGGCAGATTTTACATAATAGCTTCAAACCAACCATTGTACATTAACCAAATTTTACACAAGCCATTTGAAAAAAGATCTAAAAATGTGCTTAGTTACTGGTATTATATAACATGTATCAAGCACCAAGAGTGTGCTGAGAGCTGTACAGAACACACACAGAGAAGACACTGTCCCGGCCTTCAGACATTCCCATGCATGTGGGGCTCTTCCACATACAATGGCACCTCGCATTTCACACTCTTTTGTTCATAAGGCATAAATAGAGAAGTTTGTTGCATTTCTCTTCGTTACTTCATAAATATCAAATACTCTTCCCCCAGATGCCCTACCAACCATGACACTCATTTGTGCCTTGAAACACAAACATTCATAGTATAATATATAGGAGAATGAATTAATATTCACTTTGTCACCCACCATATTCTTGCAGATTGGTTACACTCTGAAGCAGGTTGCATTTCAACCTTCACGAATTTCTATACCACTGAACTGAGTCTTCCACTCTTGGCTGAGCAATTTTGTTTTCCAGACAAGCTTTTATCTTTGATAAACTGAGGACAAATCAGCACTGCCTTAATTCCCAAAAAACAGATCATAACTAGGGCCCAGAGACTCAGAACAATTGATGTCACTAGCCCTGAAGACATGAATTGTGTAGCTGCATGCTGTAAAATACAAACAACTTGCCTTCAGGTAGTATTGAATGACATGAGTATGATTTGCTTGACTGTCTTTTGCAGTGTAAAGAAAGGAGGACCTATATAAAATATCTGGAAACTGTAAGCTGGGAAATTTTTTCTGCCAGGCTGTGTCCAAAACCAATTCAGATTAGAAAAAAGGAATGAATCAATTTTAAATTTAATCATTGGATAAGGAATTGGATTTCAAAATAATTTCTTAAGTTGCATTGTGTGTTTTAAATATATAAGTAGGGGTTGGCATTGTGGCATAGTGGATAAAGCCACCACCTACATTACTGGCATCCTACATGGTGCCAGATAGAAACTCGGCTGCTCTGCCTCAGATCCAGCTTCCCTAATGGCCTGGGAAAGGTAGCAGAAGATGGTCCAAGTGCTTGGGCCCCTGTCTCCCACAGGGGAGACCCAGGTGTAGTTCCTGGCTCATGGCTTTGGCCTGGCCAAGTACTGGCTATTGTGATTATCTGGAGAGTGGATCACTGGATAGAAGATTTCTCTCTCTCTCTCTCTCTCTCTCTCTCTCTCTCTCTTTCTCCGTCTCTCTCCTTCCAGCTTTAAGTTTCAAATAAATAGTCTTTAAAATGAAAGAAAAGAAGAAGATAATGAATTTTGATAACTCCAAAGACATTTTGCCTTATGTAAAAAATGCCAGTGGTGGAAGATGGTACCCAAATCAAGGGATAAACAGGACAGTGTGTGGGTCACCAGCAGACAGCTCATTGCAGAAGGAGGGAAAGGGTATAGATGTTCCTGCCCCAGCCAGATCTGCTCCATTCTGCAAATTGGAGGAACTAGTATAAGTCCAAAAGTCTGGTGAGACTTAGAATCAACCATGAGAAAGGATCTAACTATGAATGTTTCCTTCCACTGATCCCAAGACACCAAGCATCCGTTAGCCTCAAGTCATGACAAAGGTCTGTAACCTCAACTTGAGACATGGTACCACTGGAGTGAGAGTGACCCCTGCCAGAGTAAACCACCTTACTTTTTGACTTTCACTGTTCATTTTCCTGGGATAGTAGCCAGTATGGCTGTTTCCATGACCTGATGATGACGTTGGGTTGTATTTTTAAAATCTCTCCAGACTTGGAGCAAGACAAAATTTTTCTGGCTAGAGGTGGAAACTGCAAAAGATTCTGTGGAGTTCTTTCATCTCTTGCTCAAGGTAGGGCTACTAGTCATGCCCTCCCCTAAGTAGCTGGGTTGGCACCTGGCCCACATCGGGCCCAGGAAGGACATCTAGACTCCACCCAGGGCAGTGCTTAGAGTGTTTTGGTCCTACCTCCCCATGATCCTAGCTGTTAGGTGGAGGGATATGGTTGGGATTCGACAAAGTTTTCTCTAGTCCTGTGAAGGTGTCTGACTGCTCTTCTCCACATAACAGAACAAAAGGCTCAGAATCATCATTTCTGGAGCTCTGACGGCGTAATCCACAGTTAAGCGGGGCATGGTGGGATCTGCATAGGGAGTGGTGCAGCATCTTCATGGGTGAAGGGAATTTGGAAGGAAAGCAAAAGCTTGTTTCTAGTGCCCAACCCAAGGCAAAGCACCAAAAGGGGGAAATTCTGATGTCAGAATACATGTTGATTTCACTTGCAATGGTAAATCCTCAGTTTTCCATATTAGGGCTTCCACTACAACCACCTAACGGGAAACTGACGCAGAGACATGACCACAGAAACAAACATGAAGACCTCTAGAACAAGTCATCACCAAACTCCCTGATGACCCCTTCCTGTTGAGCAGTTGCATGGGACAGGGCGAGCTAAGGGTTACTTAGAATCAGGACGAATGCTGGACACCTATTGCTTTAAAGATTGAGGTCCCACTTGCAGGAATTAATTATGCCACCCAGGGTGACCACGTTCTCACAGTCAATATTTATTTGCCATCAAAAAAATTTAAGGTGACTAGCTTCTGCCATTCATGTTTTTTTTTTCCTTTAGACTGAAACAAAACATTAGAATCAGATGTGGTTAATGATCCTTTCTGCTCACTTATTATCAAAGCACCATCCCGCAGCTGGACACTGAGATCAAATGATCGTGAAATTACAACAGCTTCACGCACACTGGAGAAACCTTGCTCTCAATTATTGAACAGAGAAGACAATAAACAGAAATTGGCATTTAGACAGGCATATAGATAGATAAATGGTTAAATAGATTTTTTTGCACAGCTGACAAGTATTTAAAACTCTGGAATACATGTTTGAGAAGATCTCAGTGCCTTTATCATAGGGTTGAACAAGCTTCAAACTCGTTTTAAAGTCACTGAAAGTGGCACGCAGAAACCACGGGTTGAAGTTAGAATGTCAACATGTAGCCGCTATCTCTACTCTTCAAGGCACAAGGACAAGTCCCGAACTCCTCAACTCAGGTGTGAGAAGCAGATCGTCTGCTACCAGCAGGACAGAAAATCCAGTAGTGCGGCCATATCCCCCAAGCTAAGACACGGGATCCTTTGGGGGTAGCCGTGTTCATCAAGTATTGCCCTCACGCCATCAACAAGGGGCTAGGGACATGCAGGTCTCCAAGAAAGGACACCTGACAACACAGCCTGACTTTGGCAGTCCAGCTCCTTGTTGCCTTGGGAACAAGGAGGAAGATTCCAGAAGTTTCCAAGAAGATCTGCAAGGATGCAGATCTTCAGTTGCTGTGAGAACAGAAGGGCAAGAGGGAAAAGTCGGTAGCCCTTGGTGAGAGTCAGCAAAGAAGTCACATTCTAGCACGACATGGGTCCTGCTCCTTCCCTAGCCATGGGATACCGACCTTAAGGAAAAGAGAGCCTAGCTTGGTCCCCCCTTGCTACTTCCCTAAACTTCTACAAAGAAAAAAGCATACATTTAATACCTTCTTTGTGACTCATCCCCCACCCAGAAACCTCATGGAAACAGACTCCCATTCATCTTCCCCTTCTTTCACTTGGAATGTTCCTTTGGGACTGACTGGGACTCCATGACCTTCTTTTTGTGGGAAAAGATATTGCACTTCTAAAAACTGCATTGGAGGGGTAAGTAAGCCAAGCTACTGGATAGGTGGCTCTCTCTCGAGAAGGTGTAATCAGCCAACTACCTTCAGCGTTCTCAAAACCTCGCCGTCATGGCATTATCTCCCAGGTGACAAACAGTGACCTCATTGCTGCAAGCTCTCCAAATACAGAGGAAGACGTGGGTCGCCATGAGCCGTGTGTGACTGGGGCGTCCGTGGCCTCAAGATTTCATGGTACAGATGGGGACCACAATGACCAAGATGACAGTGCATGCAGCGGCAGCAATCAGAGCCGCTATCTTGCACACCTTGGCTCGTCGGAATTCAGCTTCCTTCCTCTTTAATAACGAGTCGTAGCCTGGAGTATAAATATCTTCCATCCAGTACTCGAGGTTGTTTGGGTTCAAAGATTCTTGTGTCTGAAAATGAGAAGATGTTAGAAACACAGTAAGTACCTGACATTAGGACAATCATGTCACTCACGAAGCCCTTGGGTCTTCGGCAGCTGATAGAGATGAACAGGGACTTGAAACTGTCCTCAGGCTCCACCCTACACATTCTGGAATACAGCAGCTCCCTCCCCTGCTAAAAATGGCAACGTGGTTCTGACTCAGGGTCTCCTGTGTGTGGAGAAATGAAGTGAAGCCAAGACAGACAGGGCTCTCAACTTCAAGGCAGACAACCAACAGCAGGCTGCTCCCTGGACATACCCCTCCCTGCATGGAAAGTCACTAAAAGGTAATCTCTACCCACAGGCCCTGTTGGAAGGAAGGCTGTCCTATCATCTCTTTGCTCAGAGAAGCTTCCACCAAAATCAAAGGCAACTCTAAGATCAGCGCTTCAAACAAAACACAGAATATTTCCATTTCAAACATTTGGGCTGAGCCAGCTCAGGCCACAGCTTAAACTCAAGGTCTAGAGATTCTGAGTGGATCGTCACCATACCAGTCTTAAGTGACCATCCCTAACTTGATGCCACTTCGGCCAAAGACAGAGCCCCCACCCATGTGACTCCCAGCTTCCCTCAGATTGGTCATCCGCCTGCAGGAGCCTCTTCCTGTGCCTCTGTATCCTGATATCATCCCACTCCTCATGGATGTGGTCGGTTGCATCCACTGAGGAAAGGTGGGGCACTCATCTTAAGGCCAGCCTTGAATAAGCGTCACCCCAAGGCAACACCACACTGCAACCCAGAGAGAAGCAATCAGCCACATCTTTAAAATCCCCGTCTTGAAGATTTTCCTGTTGCTGTTGTTTTTTAAATGTTCATAAACGCAGGTACATTAAAAACCACACACGGAGGATCAGAACAGCGACCCCTAGAGACTTCAAACGAGAGTGTGCCACATGGTCGTGGAATGTGGCGGATTCTAACCCACCTGCCCTCAAAATTGTGCTCTGCTCTTCTGGTCCCTGGGGACAAAAACCCCGAGGAGTGCATTCCGGTTGTTCCCAGTCAATAGGGACAGAGATGCTGAAGGGTTTATTCCTGCACTCTCACCGTTGCCTCACTCACCCCCTGTTCAGATGCTCTCAGGCTGTAAGCACTGGGTTTGAGACCCTGACCCTTCAGACCCAGTAGTGGCAACGCTTCTCACCAGGATGGATCCCTCAGTTGATTCACTGGCTACGGACAGTGTCCCCTTGCCTGTCTGCTCACACCACCAAACAGTACCCTGCTTAGTACCCTCCTTTCTTCCCTCCCTCAACCCCCTTGGGAGCATCCATCTACTTCCTTCCAGGAGGCTGGCAACCAACATGCTGTGGGTTCCTGGGCTTTGCTTTATTTATTTCTTTTTATTGGAGAGGCAGAGAGATGAAGATGATACAGAGACAGAAAAATATAGAAGAGAGAGAGAGAGAAAGAGCTCCCATTCTCTGGTTCATTCCCCCAATGCCCAAAAGAGCCAAGGCTGAGCTGGAGCTGAAGTCTCCAGGAGCCAGGAACTCAACCTAGGTCTCTCACATGGATGGCAGGAGCCCAACTCTTGAGCCATCACTATCACCACCACATCAGCAAGAAGTTGGAGTCAGGAACCAAAGACAGGAATCCAACCCAGGCTCTCCGGTCAGGGACACAGGCATCACAACCAGCGCCTTCACCACTGAGCCAAAATCTGCCCCTTGGTTTCATTACTGTCCTCTCACTAAAAATCTTCTAGAAAAACTCCACGCATACAGGGTCCTCTGTGCGATCAAACAGACTTTGCAAGGAAAAAAAAAAATCTGCAACGGTATCTTGTGCTGGAGGTTGGTGGTGGGAGGGGGCTGTCCTGAGCTGCATGGGGGCAGTTCTGGCCACCAGAACACGTGTCCTCATACTTGGACCACGTTGCACAGAGAACCAGCCTGTTCTTTTTGGCATGGAAGGAGTGGAGTGGATACTCAGCCAAGAAGATGTGGCCAATGGTGGATCTGCTGCCTGTCCTGAAACAATGGGTGAGGGGTCACCCAGTGGGTGTCAGGTTCAGCCTGGGTGCAGTTACCATTGACGTGACCCACCCTCCTCCCTACTTGGCCCAGAAGACATGTGTTGCAAATAACAACCAAACTGTCTTTTCAGCTTGCCTCCAGCTCGGCAGGAGGAAATTGGCTTGCTTTCATAGCTCTCTACGCTATAGTACAGGCTGGGATTCAGCCTGGGAACTACTCTATGTTTAATTAGTTTTTTTTCTCTCCCCCGCCCCCCCAGTATCTGCAAGCTCCAATGGCACGAGGAAGCAGAGAGGTGATTGTGAGGTTCCCAGGGACCCCGGTGAGTGAACTCAGCTATGAATGGGGCCTGGAAATAAAAATAAACACACTTTGCCCATTCTCTCAGGTGGGCACCACGGAAAGCGATTGCACACTGGCCACGGGGGAGCCCAGGGAGAGAGCACACATGTTAAAACTGCCCTAACACAGGCTTAAGTCCCTGCACAGCCTCCCTGACTTTACTAGATGCCTCAGGCTGCTTTCCTACGGGCACTCTCCCAGGAGTCCTGAGCCCTCATTCCTCCTTTTAGTTGGTGTAACTGGAGAGGCTGGCCTTTGCATTTGTAGCTAACATCACCTCCATAACCAAAGTAGCTATTTTTACTTGTGTGTGTGTGTGTGTGATTTTATCCTCTTGCTTATAGACACTGGCAGGTTAAGTTCACACATATCCCTAAAGCCAAGATTTTCCCCTGTGCCTTCTCCTAACAGTCAGTGAGTTGTTTGATGACTCACCTTCTCAAGGTCATACCACAACACTGCCCAAACATTGGTTATCGCACCTGCTAAGCCTCTCACACCTGCTGACTGGAAGACTCCTGATGACCCCACAACAGAGCTGCCACACAAGCCCTACTGGGGGATAATCAAATCCGTGTCTAGCCTGCTTGCCAGCAGCAAGAAGACCCAAGAGGAGGCAGCCCCGATGGACAGGTGATGGTGCACAATGCGCTTGCACAGCATGAAGGGGCTCAGGAGGTCACGCCCAGAAACCTCACTTGCAGTATGTGGCCCCACGACTGCTTTTCATTTAGGGACTCTGATAAACCAACAAGTAGGCACTGTGTGACAGCTAGCGCCACCAAAGCCTCCGAGGAAGAATGCTGTGGAGGGAACAGGAAGAAGAGGGCACGAGACTCCTTATGTGAGGGTTCAATGTGGTCTTGGATGTGCCTGGCCCCTGTGGAAAGCTCCTGTGTTTCCTACAGTTCCTCATTTGTAAGGTTGAGGGCAGTTACAAAATTTCTGCCACTGCCTGGGCCTAGAAGGCTGCTGGACACACACCCACTGTGCAAAGCATTACGCAGCAACCCCCCCCCCCCACCCCAAATCCTTAAGCAACACCAGGCACCTTAAACATACTATTTTCCATCTTCACAATGACTTTTCAAGTTCCACATGATTATGCCCAGTTAACAGAGGAAAGGATGCAGGCATAGCAGGTGAACTAAAGGTCATAGGTCATCCCCAGAGACCAGGCATCTCCCATAGTCCTCTGGGTCTCTGCAAAGCCAGCCACACTGACCCCTACAGGTGGCTCTCTGACACTGTGCCTGATGGACATAATATCTCACCCGAGATCTATAGGTGACTGGCTCAAGGCTGAGCCCACAGTGGGGAACTGGGTGCATCCTCTGCCGTGGCAAGGACAAGAAGACATAGAGAGATGTGATATGAATGGGACCAAAATGTGACCCCAACCCAGCCCTGCCTGTGAGTGGACAAAATATATGCCCTCTGGCCACAATAGCCTTCACAGAGCTCCCGGCGATGGCTCTTACCTGCGGCCGCTCCATATGGAAACACAGTCCATAGCCGAGCTCCCACCAATATGATTATCCCACGCGCTACACACAGAAGGAGAAATCAGCTTGTGGGCGGGAAACAGTTTGGCACGGGTCTCGTGAGCAAAGACTAGAATCTGCACTTATATATAGAGTCTTAAACGCATCATTAGCAGGTCAGAGTGGCCCAGCCAATTCACAAACAGAGCAAACACCACCAACCCCTTGTGCACTGGGCTACATGACTCATTCAAGTTCAAATTACACCGTGTGGGGTAGGGATTTGGGGGTTGGAGTTAGGGGACCCAAGAAGTCGGAGAGGGCAGGGTTGGGCTGGCCGAAACCATTCTCGACCTGTGCACTCGCCAGGGCCCAGTTGGGGTGACCTCCGATACTGCCACCCCCTCACCCAGGACAGCAAGGGGCTCACCTGGAGGTCGAGGGCCGTCAGCTTGCCCTTGTCGCCTGCATTCCGTGTGTACTCCTCGATGGTCCAGGAGGGCTGGCCCCGCTTCACCTCAGCCAGCTCCGTAAGCCGCATGTCAGTGTACAAAGGGTTGCTCTTCATGTGGGCCTTGAGGGAGGCGGGGTAGGGGTGAGGGCTGAACACCTGCTCCACCAGGAAGCTGCCGTCTTTGGGCTGCTTGGGTAGGCGGTGCTGCGAAGCCTGCAGAAGGGCACAGAAGCAGCACGAATGCCGTGGGGTCTCCCAGTGATGCAGAGCAGCTAGCAGCTCTCAGCCCCAGGCCCTGTAGACATTCAGACTCCACCAATTGTGGTCCATGGGCATACAAAAAAGAAATCTCTTATCCCCCTCCTCTCTCACTGTCCTAGCATGAGCTCATCTGTGTGTACCAGAAATCCTCATGGCATCACTCCCATCATGAACCCCCATTATACATGTAGAAACCCCAAAGGCCAGAAACACTCAAGATCACTTGGTCCCAGGTTCTCAGCCTGATTCTTCCAGCTTCAAAGAGTGCTGGTGGCACCAGTGTTCATGAACATTTCCTCCGGGCTGGGTCAGCTGAACCCATGGATGCTTCTTGGTCTCCCTGGAAGGAGGAAGCTACACTAAAGAGCACATGGTTTAGAAGCTCCTGGTGACAGCTGAGTCCTTGTTTGGAGACAACAGCATAGCCCAAGGAATAGCATGAGCTACTGTATCAGGGAAAGAAGGGGTGCTCATGTGTCTCTCCCTCTGGGAACCCCTGTTCTCAGTGGAACTTCAGAAGCAGAACTTTCTAGTACTTTGTAACTGTGGGCATGCCCACCTGTGTGATCTCTGAAAATCACATGCAGACCCCCTGCTATCTTGTAGCCACCTTGTGACATCTTGTGAGTTCCCGGAAGGCAGAGGCTGCCCACTCAGCCTCTTTCCCCTGACCAGTCAGCGGAGTTCCAATGTAAAGAAGACATGACAGCTAGAGGGTATCCAGGTGTGAGAAAGCCACTATGTCAAGTTATAGAAGTGAAACAGAGCACAGTCAGCATGAGTGAGCCATGCAGAGAAAGAAAGAGCATGTGTATGCGCGTGTGACCCACGGGTCGCCCAGGTGCATCTCAGCTCTTGCCCAAACCCAGCCCAACACTCAGGACTGCTGACTCAGACACAGAATGCAGCAGGAACTTGCCAAAAATCCCAACAAGAAAATGGAGTTGCCTCTTTTTTTCTCACTCCTCAAAGCAAAAGGGCCTTGGAAGGGACTTCTCTGATAAGATCCATTCTGCCCAGCCCCCTAGGTAGTGCCATGCTGGGCTCAGTAGGCAGACCTCAGCAGTGAGTCACACCCTTGTATTTGGGGAACTCTGAACCCTCAGGATTTCAGTGCCTACAACCTATCTCATATTCTCTCTCTGTCTCTCTCTTTCCTTGTCTCTTTCCCTTCCCCTCTCTCCCTCCTTGGAGAAGTCAGAAGGCACTAAGGTTCTGGCTGGTTATATGGCAGAAGCAGGAATGAGTACAGAGACAAGCAGCACACTGACATCACCTCCATGTGACCCGAGAGGACACCCTGGGTCCATTCAGAAGGAGCAGGAACAGCTCATGCAGAACTAAAAACTATAGAAAACACAGGCTAGAAACTAACATCTTTGCCTCATAGGACCAGGAACCCCTTCCCCACTCATCCTATGCTCTTGCTAGTCATCCACTTCTGACAAAAATATTTTCACTTTTAACCAGGAATAATACCTGGGCGGTGGATGCTTGGTCTAGTGTTCAAGATGCTGCCTGGGCACTTGCATCCTACACAGGAGTGTCCAGGCTTGAGTTCTGACTCTAGGACGCAGCAGCTGATGGTATCAGACATTGCATCCTAGGCTTGCCTGGCAGTGTCTGTGTGCCTTTCCAATAAATAATTTTCTTAAAGAAAATTAGGGCAGCGTGTTAACACTTTCCTTAAAGGGGAAAAGGGGCTTACCATGGTATATGTAATGCAGTCCCCGGGAGAAACGGATCACATGCACACTCAACAGTCACTGTCCTCATTCACCTGTACTGTGACCTGTTGTTTCTTCAAAGGATGGTTGGCCCTCCTCAATGCACCTACCTGTTCTGACCCAGCTTGCCCACACCAACCGTCCAGCAGCTCACCGTGTTTTCTATTCTGGGCAGTGTGGCAACCTGCAAGCATTCCAGCTGAGTGACAACTCTGGGGGAACACACTCGCACCCTATGTGGGTCCTTCCTTGCAAGGATCACCCACCTGCCAAGGCAAGGTTAAACCAAGCCAAAGGTGTGTTGGTTGTAACCCACACACTCAAGCTAGAATGAACTGCTGCCTGCCTAGGTGAACTTGACTCATTTACCTCTTTGGGTTTCCGATGCCAGTCCTTACTTTCCACTGCTGGTCCTGCGTCTTTCATTTCCTCCCCGCTGAGGCCTCCGCGGCTGGAATAGGTGATGGTGCGCCAGTCTCTGGGCGAGTTGGAGATGCTGGCAATCTTGGATTCTGTAGCGCTGTTCTCCTCAGTCAGGGACCTGGAGGACGGACGGGTAAAGAGGCTTTTCTTCAGGGCTTGGACGCGTAAGCTCTCACTGTTGCTTCCACTGGCATCTGAACAACACCACTCTGGGTTGTTTTCCAACGGGGCTGTGTGGGAGCTCTCGTGCGCCCGGAACACACGTGGGGAGGCTGTGTCGTCGGACGGAGCCTCACTTGTCAGGGAGTTCAGATCCATCTGTACGTTCACCTTCTCGGGCTGTTGCATCTTCTGGTCCAGTTTGTTGAGTTTGCCCAAGACCTGGGAGATTTCCTCACGCACTCCAGACAGCGACTCCAGCTTCCGCTCGATCTCACCAATGCGCAGCACCAATTTGCACACACTGGTTTTCAGCTCCTCCTCTGAGGGCTGGAGGCGCTCTGGTCGGTTGACCTTGTCTCCCTTGCTGCCAGGGAACCCATTGGCAAGTTTGGGGAGGTGGTGCTCAGGAGAGCTGTCACAGTCTGACTTGGGCAGCTGGGACAGGGATCCGGTGCTATTGTAGCAGGACGAGTGCATCACTCCCGTGGACCCACTGACGCTCATGTCGTCGAGAAAACGGAAAATGTCGCTGATGTCATCGCTGACGACCTCCGAGTCGTCGTCGGAGTGCTTCAGGGCATGCCTGTCACCGTACTTGCCTTGCCCAGAGGTGCACAAGTCTTTGCCTTTCTTGGACTCCAGGACCTGCTGTTCGGTCTGGGTGCCCACGCTACTGGTGTCTGAGCTGAGCTGCCCACTGGTGCAGCCAATGCTCTTGTCTTTGAACTTCTTGACTGGCTCATGCTTCTCCAGGTCGACGGGGGACGGGATCTCTTTAGCTTTGAGCCCGTTGGGTTTGGCTGCATAGCCAACCTGGAGAATGGGCGGCTGGTCCTTGGGCACCAGGTAAGCTGGGCGTCTGTCTGGGGCTGGGAAAGCAGGGCTCTGGCTGCCGGAACTGGGGTAGCGAAGCTTCTCTTCCCCGGAGGGATTCCTATTGAAGAAAGACCGCTCAAAGTCGGGCACTTCCTCCGTGTTGAGGCTCCAGCTTTTGGCTGGCCATGGGGTCTGTTTGCTGGGCCGCCCTGGGCAGCGCCGGGCTTCTTGGACTCCCATCACTGGTGTAGGTCCAAAATAGGTGGAGGCTTGAAGATCGTCCAGGCTTTCATGCTTAACTCTCCTCTTGTCGGGTATAGGGGAATACACCGGATTAAGGTACTGGCTGTTGTAGGGCATTTCAAAGCTGTGATTGAAGAAGGGGGGTTTGTGAGGCTCCTTCCGGTTCTGGGGCTCCCCACATTCCCCATCTACTTTGCCAGGGGGGCCCACCAAGCTAGGGGAGACAGGCATAAGGTTGTGAAAGTCCTGCTTGAAGATGTTCCTCTTCTGCACGCAGGACTGGACCACAAAGGGCTCCTCGTTGGAGAGGAAGGTCTCCTTGAGACCCTGGCTGAGAGATAGCGAGTCCTGGTCGGAGATGGACTCGCTCTCGAGGTTCATGGGAAAGTAGGTCCGCTGCATCTCACAGGGCCGAGGGCTAGCCACAGAATAGGGGGCCAGGGCCTGCAGCCGGTCCAGAGAGGCAGCTCGGCTCTTGCCCTCCTTGCTAACCCCTAGCAAGAAGTTGGGCTCAGAGGCGGGGACGAACTGCGGGCAGTCCTTGCAGTCCATTTTGCGGCTCTTGGAGGATTGCCTGGTGGGGTAGCCCCGGCTGAAAGGCCTGTCATTAAGCTCACAGTTGAGTGACTCGCAGTCCGCGGCAGAGCAGATCTCCGTGATCTCCGTGTCGGAGCGGCAGGACTCAAAGGAGGCTTCCTTCTTGCGCATTTTCTGGCGCCCAGCAGGTAGCTTCTCTTTGGCCACGCCCCCGTTCATCTGGATCAGGTTGAAAATGGTCACGATGTCGGCCGCCACCATGATCTTCTTGGACTGCTGGTTGTTCACGTTGCATTTCATCTTGTCTTTGAACAGCGTGGCTGGGAAGTTGGGATCGAGACAAGCCGTGTAGAAGAGCACGCTCCTCAGCTTGGCCAGCTGCGACAGATCGAACCGCGCGCACAGTGATTTGCACAGGTCCTGATAGGAAACCGTGTTTTGCTTGCTGTCCAGCTCCTCCAAGATCTTCACCAGGAAGACAGAGGTCTCCTGATTGACCTCCATGATTATTTAGGATGTGGAGAGCGTGCAGACTATGCAGAAACTGCAGGCCAGGTATCTAGGGATGATATGGGAGGAGAGGGGGATAGAGAAGAGGATTGTTAAAACGTCACTGGAATTTAAGTCAATCATGCCATGAACACACAGAAAGAAAACATCTTCAGGCCAGAGCCGTGGCAAAGCAGATAAAACTATTGCTTGCAGTGCTAGAATCCCACCTGGGTGACAGTTCAAGTCCTGGTGGCTCCACTTTCAATCCAGCTCCCTGCAAATGTGCCTAGAAAGCAGAGGAGGAGTACCCAGGGACTTGGTTTCCTGCACCTGCATGGAGATCCACAGGAAGCTCCTGGCTCCTGGCTTCAGACAAACCTGCCTCAGGCATTGTGGCCATTTGGGGGAATTAATCATCAGATGGAAGCTCACTCTATCTCTCTCTCTGCCTCTGCTTCCCTGTAACTCTGCTTTTCAAGTAGAATAAACAACTTTTTTAAAAAAAGAATTTTAATGGCTAAAAGCATATTAGGGACTTTAAAAACATCTCTATTCCTTTCCCAACATTCCACCTTGCAGAAATGATCACTGATGACAGTGCACAAAGATGTTCATTATGAAGGTATTTATAATCAAAGGAAAACCACACATCTGAGAGAGCCCAGTTGTCGGGAACACCACAAATAAAACTTGCTACAATATATCGCTAATCTTTGCAAATATCCAAAAACTTACATTATTGAATAGCCTTACATTATCGAACATCCTTACAACAGAGTACTACTCATCAACTAAAATGTTCCAATGAATGGGACATGCCATACATGGGTGAATCTCAAATATACTCTACACAAGCAGAAGAAACCAGAGCCAAAAGGTTATACACGATGAAGTCACCTCCAATGGCTCATGGAAATTTGAAAGTATAGCATGTTTTTGGTGGGGTCGGAGTAATGGTATAGTGAACTGAGCCTGCACCTGCAGTGTTGCCAGCTCATATGATACCAGTCTGAGTCCTGGTTGTTCCACTTTGTTCCAGCTCTCTGCTTATGGCTTAGGAAAGTAGTAGAAGATGGTCTCTTGGGCCCCTGTACCCATGTGGGAGACCCAGAAGAAGCTGCTGGCTTCAGATCGACCCAGCTCTGACTCTTGTGCCCATTTAGGAAATGCAGAGATGGAAAATTTCTTTCTCTCCTTCTTGTTCTGTAACTCTGCCTTTCAATCTTTAAATCCTTTTTTAAAATGTTTTTAATACAAGGCTTTCAGCTTTTAATTCCATTTTCTGTGACCTCTTGAAGCTCCTGTGTATGTGAGTCCCCTGTAATGACATTCAACAAAACGGGAGAATGTTTGCCAGGGCTGGATGTCAGGGCAACAGTTGTCCTTAAAGAGGCACAAAGAGATTTTTCTGGAACAATAGAAGCATCCTATATCTTTGCTGCAGTGGTGGTTACACACCTATACCCATTTGTCAAAATTTATGGAACTCTGTGCTAAAAATATGTGCATTTGAACATATATAATGATGCCCCAACTTGTAAATCACATAAAACTTTCTAGGACACAAGAGTGAGCAAAACAATTAGAAAATACACATGTCTACTTGATAATATCTTCATGATAGACAATGGTATCAATTCTTGGAAGCCACAATGAAAGAAAATATTCTACATTAAAATATCAGTAGTGGTTAAGCTTGGAAAGTAAACATGGACATTGATCTGAATTGGTCAGCTTTCCTCCTTGTCCCAGCCCTGGACTGTGTTACCACTCAGATTTTCAAACTCTCAGCCAAGTTGAGAGAAGTCTATGGTGAGCTTTCATAAGCCAATCAATGGATCTTCACATTAGCGTTGTCCTGGATTTGCTTTATCATGTGTCCATGCATCATCAACCTGTCTTCTCTTGATGTCCTTCAACATAACTCACTGACACCTGTCTGTTCACTTCTAAATACATCATCATGCATACTATTGACCCAGTCCCATCATGTGTGTAGTTTTTCTTTTAACATGAAGCTCACAAACAGTGAGCAGTATAGAAATGCTAAGTGTGCATGGGCTGATGTTCTGATTAAAGCCTACACTTGAGTTATAACCAACCCCTTATAAAGAATTTTGCTCCCCAAAATTCCACCGAGCCCTTTCTTGGTCATTCATGGTTCTTTTTTTAACTTGCTTTCGGTAGGTGACTTTTAGTTTTTCTTTTAACTTTCCAGCTTCTCTAAAATTCCTACAGGGAGCACATACAACTTTTTTTCATCACAGATGTAAGTGAACCTTATTTAAAAATGGGGGAAAAAAGCATCTACGCCAGCTGATGTGCCAAACTTTCATAAAATTCCCCAAGAGAAGATAAGTTCCCTCATTAATAAACCTGGAAATTGCCTCTAAGATTGACAAGAGTACAGAACATGTTCACTGCCTAGGCACATACCAGGTAGAAAAGAAATCGGGGGCCTCTCTGGGAGCCTAGTGGGTAATGTTGCTACTTACAACATTTGTAAGTTCCATGTGGTACCAGCTCACAGCCAGGTTGTTCCATTTCCCATCCAGCTCCCTGCCTGTGTCCTGGGAAAGCAGTGGCAGATGACCCAAACTCTTGGGACCCTGTACCTGCATGGGAGACCTGGAAGAAGCTCTTGGCTTCGTATTGGCTCAGCTCCAGCTGTTGTGGTCATTTGAGGAGTGAATCATGTCATGTTTTTCCATGCTACAGTATACATACCAGCCACACAGGGACACACTGCAGTGCCCTCAGCTCCTCGTCTAAAGACACATGCACATGTCTGTATACATGTCCACAAACCTAAGTGTACCCGCAGGCCCACCATATGCACATACACACACACACACACACACACACACACACACACACACACACACACACACCACTTTCCTGCGTATCTCTTGCCTCTGATCATCCTTAAGTTCTTGGCATATATTGAGGCATATTTTGGAAAAAACCAAGTGACCAATGAATCTACCTTCCCTGGCACTTAGCAGGCTGTCCAAAAGGATAGTGCGGCCTGAGATGCTGCACCCCAGGAGGCTGTCCATCATCTGCCAGTAACCCATTCCTCACAGTGGAAACCCACAGAAGGCAGGTCCAGCAACAAAGTCTTTGTGGAGGCTCCAAAAGGCAAGTCGCATGGCCCCCAGCCCACCCTGCCTGCCAGCTACTTGGGTTCTGCCCTCAAGGCAAGGAAACCTCCACAAAGGGCCAGAGAGCCACTGAGAGCTGGACATGACCAGGAACCCAGTGCGGGTGACTGGAACACATCAGGCACTCTGCTCCCAACCCAATTGACCACCCAGCACAGCCCATGCTTTCTCACAAATGTTTCCTACAGACCCACTACTTTCTGCCGCCACATGCCCTGTGGTGTCTGCCCAACCTTGGCCTCCCTGTAACACAGCCTTCCTCATGAACCATCCCTCTGGATACCCAGCAGCCCTTTTCTGGGACCCCAAGAACAGTGCTGGTCCTATAGGAGTTTGTAATTGGGTGAGTCACCTGCTATGGCTTTAAAACATCCAAAGAGCAGGGCCACTCTGCCCCCAGCTAGGCAAATCAGAATCCCAGCGTTCTGGGAGATAGGTCACCCCAGTCTCTGATCATGGCCCTTTAGTCTGGGGGACTGACAGGGGAGTGGCTAAGGTGGTGCTACCTGATGACTGGGGTGGATGAGTAGTGGAAACACACAGAACAGGACTCAGCCCCCAGCCCTGCCCACACACAGCCCCCAGCCCTCATTTTCTCCTGCAGCAGTGGATTTAATGAGCAGTCCTCTTAAGCACTTAATAAAGAGATGTCCCTAAGACAGCCATTGCACATTTGACTGTTGATCCTCCCTCATTCTCAACAAAGGCTGTGGCAGCACCAATGGCTTGATGCCTGACAGCACCCCCTGCAGGCTATGTGGTTATCACAGTACTTTTAAATGCTCTAATTACTGTCCATATTTAGGGGGTACCATGTCATATTCAATCATGTGTATCCTGCATGGTGACCAAAACAGGGCAAAATAAACACTTTCATCATCTCAAACATTGATCACTGCTTTATGTAGGAATGTTCAAAACCCTCTCCTCTAGCTCTTTTGAAATAGACAATGATATGCATAGCTACAGAAATCTAGAGCTTATTCACCTTTATAATTTTGCACCCATTCATCAAGATGACCCTCCCCTTTCCACATTCTGGTGGCTGCACTTCCAGCAGCACACGAGATCAGCTTGGGAAAACAAATCCATCCTCTCAGACAAGCAAGAGCACACCACCGGTGAGAGCATGAACTTGGGGTCCCTTACCTGTACATTCTCAACTATTCTAAAGACAGCCTCCCACCTTCTTAAGTTGTGTCATTGTTTCCCTCCCTTCACATCAGAATGAAGGGAAAGTGAGTTCTTGTGGGGAACATTGTTCTTTTTATTATTAAATAGGCAGTGTAAGCAAGTCCTGGGACCAGAGGTTGGAATGGTCATCTCAGAATAAGCAGGGTGTCCCCTTGTTCCCCCTCATCTTTTATGACTCCTAGCTCATCAATACCTGGCACCCACCCCATACACCTCTTTCCTGTCTCCTTCAAGAATCCCAGAGGTATTCTGTCCTTCTCTGAGCAGCCAGTACATGCATGACCTGTTGCTAATGGGCGTAACTAGGTAAGGGCAGAGGAGGCTGTTTGTTGGATGATCTGAGACAGGGACAATAGGGGGTATTCCAGAGAGACAGCAGGGGGATAGAGGATGCAGCAGATGAGTGCGGGGTCTGGTGAGGAAGGATGGGGAGGGTAGAGGTAGGAGAAGCAGGTGGAGTGTAGGGAGGCCAACACTGAACTTCGGGCTGGGAGTCTGGATTAGCTGCCGTAAGTGGTTGGAGCTGGAAACTCTGGGGGAGCAACTGCTGGCGGGGTCAGGTGCAGGCTTCTGAGAAAGTCCTTCAGGCTACAAGATGCACTGACTGAGATTCACATTGTCCTCCCCTCTCCAGAATCTCCACATATGCACAGT